TGAGCAGGGAGTGTCTGACGAGGCTGCGGACCCCTGAGCTGTGCCTGCTGCAGCACCACAGCAGCGTTTGCACAAACACACACCGAGAGTGCAAAGGGCAAAGGCAGAGAAACACATGTGCATGCCAGGTCAAGCAGTCCTCCTAGGTGCAAAAAAAGCCATCTTTGCCAGTAAACACACCGACAGACTCTACCAGCTAATGGCAAAGGACATGTGCATTTGGATAAAATATGAAACAACCACCCCCGCTGCAGATGAAAACCTCTCAGCCCAGGTAGGTGCAGTAAATAGATCTCACCACTTAGGAGACGTTCACTAATTATTGACTGTCTCCTCCAAATTTTCCTCTTTTTCATGACTAATTATTTACCCAGCCATCCCAATTTTAAGTTCCTTTATGTAGATTCTGCTGGCACAGAGCAGTCTAAGTAGAAAAAACTTACGAAAACCAGCTGACGCTGATTATTAAAAGCAATTATGAGAAAATTGCTCAGCATCTTTACAACATTCAAGCCAAGTCCTGCCACTGAATCAAACCGGTCATGTGTGCTCTGATGGGACCGAGAAGGGGAGAGAATCTGCAGTAGGAACCCTCCTGGACAATATAGAGCAGTCAGGACAGAGGGGCTGGATAAAAGCAATGCTTCCAAAGGTGTGTGCTGAAAATGGAGCCTGCCCCTCATGCATGAAGCTCCTAGCCATTTTCTTGCTAACACCTCTTGTCAGGGACCTGAAAAGGGGTAGGGAAATACATCCAAAAGCTTGGTCTTCTGAACTGCAGATCTCTCCCTCCCAGGATTATTTTTGCTGGCCATTGAATCCTTTTCTTGGTATGAGACTTCGTGGCTTGGGGTAGGTTTTTTTTGAACTTTAATTTGGTGACAACCACATGTTCCAGAGGGAACGGTGTCAGACGAAAATAAAGGATAATCACTTCCCTGATGCTGGCTCAGGAAAAGGCCAGGATCAGGTCCCTGGCTTCTCAGGCAGTCTTGTACACCTGTCCAAAGCAAGAAAGCAAAGCACATGTACAATGCTACCAAATGGCTGGAACAGTACTTTGCACCTGTTTTGTGTCCATTTCCGCAGGACCACAGAGATTTCGCCCTTCTCTGAACCAGCTGGAGAGGAAAACAATGCTCTAAACCAAGCAAATACCAACCTGCTCTTCCCCCAGTGCAACAGGGCTCACTCCTGTGGCTTCGCAGCCCGTCTGCACGGCCCGGCGGCGGCAGCCGCCTTCCCAGGATGCTCCCCTCCCTGCGGGCAGGGCCGGACAGTGGGAAGCCACCCCGCGCCAGGCTGACATGAACACTGGAGCCGTGACAGCTTGGCTGCCACTTCAGCTGGCAGTCAGGTGCCTGCTAACATGGAGATGCCCACCAATGTCATCGTTTCACCTTTACAGGGAGTAATGGAAAGTGCCTCGAGGTCTTTTCTGTTCCCTTCTCTCCTTTCTCAAAACTAACTAGCAGACCACGTGTCTGGCTGTTCCTTCACTGTTAACAAAGATCCTGTGCACCCCCTTCCATGGTGCACTAACTAATCTATGCTGCTCTTTCCCCAGGAAATAAACCCCTGCTCTGCAGCCAAGTCACCCAGCCCAAACTCCTCCTTGCCTCGAGCGAGGAGGTTTGTCACGGCACTCGTTCTGACATGAGGCTCGCTGCCGCCTAAGTATATCCAGCCACCATTTTGGCTATCGTGGAGGAGGGCGGTGCGGTGGTGATTACCTGCTGTAAAGTAGCCTGCAGTGACGTGCCTATCAGCAGAAATAGAAGCAGGTTGATGCTTGACTGCACAGCACGAGAGGGGTGTGTTGCGTAGATACACAAATAAAATGCGATGAGTCGGTTGGGGATCTCAGCACCATCCAGCCCTTCGCTGCTGAGCCGGCCGCTTTCGGTGGCCCTGTGGTTTCTATCTGCTGCAGGGGGAAGGCTGGGCATGGAGGCACAGAGCTTGAATTGGGCTGGGTGTACAGCCGTTCCTCCTGAGGACAGGACTCTGTCCTTGTCCCTCCTCTCCTCCAGCCTGGCGGGGGAGGAGGACTTCGTGCGAGGCAGGGAGCTACACCCAGCTTTCCCCCTCTGCAGCACACTGCTTCCAATCACACCCTTGCTGGAGGCCAACCTCATGCTCCCTGCTGAGCACCATGAATCTGCAGGATCGAGGCCAATAATACTGTGGTTATTTGTAATAATGACACTGGGAAGAATGGAGAAAAAAAATATCTAAAATGGATTAACAAACTATGTATGCCTGGTCTGTACACAGCCTATGTCCACTGTCTTGCATCAGTTAGTGGTGTGAACAATATGTTCCTTTTATCCTCCCTGCTGCCCCTAATAAATCTGTCATTGTATCTCAGCCCCGACCCATAACTTCTCCTCCCTCCCTCCCCTCCATTACTGCACTCCCAGAGCAAGGAGAGGAAGCTCCCGCATCTGTGGTTATTGTACGGTGTGGAAAAAAAGTAACTCTTCAAACTTACAGTATCTTACAAATCTCAAAAATATCAAGCATGTTTTGAGGCACTAATCAAGCCTTGCCACCTCTCCGCTGAGCAGGTCGCTATTATTATTCCCATTCGACAGAGAAGAGGGTATGAGAAGTTGAACCTTCTTTTCCCCAAGGTCACACAAGAAAGTAAGTGGGGGAACCTGGGGAAGCGCATGGACTTTGTGGCTCCCGGTCCTGTGTTTTAGCCACACAGCCAACCTTCTCCCTTCTCCTGCCTGCTCAGCTTGCCACAACCCAGTGCTGGAAGGCAAAAGATCCCAAATGACATAAACTTACCCACAAAATAAATAGTCATGTGTGAATCTCAAGCCATAGAGACGTTCATTTGCTTTGTGCAAGCAACTCTTTTAGCTCAAGTCCATCATGCTGTGCTTCTGACAAATCTTACTTTCAGTAATAAAAGTAAGGCTACGTCATACCGGTGCGGCATACAGGCGTTAGGATAACGTCTTTGGGGCAAGACATACTCAAGCCCCAGAGAGACATACTCATCAAGTCTTAAACAACTACAGTGAATTTCTACTCACATCAGTGAATCCAAGACTTTGTATGGAGGCTCTAAACCAAATCCTCCATCCACGCAGGCTCTGATAGGCCAGTGGGTTTCTCTTTTCCTTCCCTCTGCTTTCCAGCTATTTAGAGGAATTTTGAAGGGATGCCTTCTCAAAGCTGCACCAAAGGTACTAAAAATCTTACCGTGTAGCTCAGCATACAGAAACTTCCTGCTCTTTCTGTCAGCATCTCTTACCTACATTGCTTCAGAAACGTTCACTTGCCCAACACAATGCAACATGATGGCAAAGAGCTTTACAGATTCTGGAGCAACATCAACTCCCCATCCGCATTGTGTGAAGCTGGTGAACAACCCATCTACACAGTTCTACTCCTGCCTTTTTTGTGCCTTGCTATGTTTACTCGTGCACCCACAGCTCTTTCTAAAAGAAACTTGATTCTTACTTTCACGGCTGTGTTAACATGACACCAAAACCTGCTTCTCCGGCAGTTTGCGGGGGGATGAGGATGTCATGCTGACACATCCAGGGTTTGATCTGACAGCAAACAAGGATTGCAAAAAAACCCCCACCTCCGGTTTGAATTGGCTCAGCTGGGAGGAGAAAACTCTCCTGCTTTGAAGCACATGAACCCTCACGTGTTCAATGGAGACTTGGGGGTGGGGGACACACACCGTTAGCTGATAAGGGTAGGAAGATGGCAAAGGTTTTTTTATGCTTTATACCATCAGAAGACTCTGCCTTGCACCTCCTTCTTTCCCCACAGCCTCTGAACTCTAAGTCAGGTCTAACCTTTTCAAATGTAAGCAGCACTGGTTTATGCTGTCTCAAACCAGACATTTCGAAACACAGGGCTGACTGCTGCCCTCCATTACCTTCCCCTAATCCACCTGCCAGTAGTCCCAGGCACAGCAGACAGAGCGGTTTGTCTCCTTTTGTCACCATATGCATGCTTTTAGGGCACACAATGACAATCAGGACAAAAATACCACTGGGACTTCATTCTATTGTGCCGATGCAATGTAATTTGGCAGCACACAGAGAATGCAGCAGAAAAACAGCAGGGAAGATGGTGATGGGAAACCACACACTCAGGCTGCAGGAGTCAGGAGTCAGTTTATGTACGGTCCTGGAAGCCAAACGTAAGTGGGACACGTACACGTGTACGTGCATGCACATGCACACAGATGGACACACAGACTTATGGGAGTAAGTCAGGAGGTGCAGGAAGCATTTGAACACAGCCAGAAATGCAGAGATGAGTAGCTTACCTCCCAACTCCCTCAGAAAGAAGGGACACTTGGACAGAAGCTGCCGTAACTCTACATAACCACTCCTTTGCTACCCTGAACTGGCGGTTCCTGGCAGAAACATGGTGCTGGCAGAGCACATGCAGACACCAAAAAGGCTAAGAGGAGCTCAAACCCAGTTCTCCTGTGAAAAAATGTGGCTAGAATTCTTGATTACTGCATGGGTTGCAATTATTTCTCGTCTCCAAGGAAAAGGAAACATCTCTGGGGAGCCAAAAGCAAGGGAAATGGAGAAAAGGAGCAAGGGAATCACTGCAAGGGGGTCTATAGGTAAGGCATCCAAAGGGAAGATCACATGGTGAGGCTAGGGAGGTGAAAACCAGAATGGCTGAAATTTGCACCAGTAATGAATAGATTGATGGGTTCTGCTTCTCATACCAGACACCATCTTTGCCATGAGAAAGAAGCGGTAAAATTTTAATTGTCTGCACCGAGTTTGGGAGACAGCTGTGCAAGACAAACACTTTTTCATATTATTTTTACCTTGAGTCACCATGTTTTCCCCAAAACACAGGCTGAGGCTGTGCATACAGATGCCGTACCCTGTGCCCCCAGTGAAGAAAACAAAAGTGCTCATTCCTTTCTTAAATAAAGGAAAAAAAAAAAAGGAAACAGTATTTTCATTTTCACACTAGCAGCAAGCAGCAGGCGAGAATCAAGAGGTGCTAAGAGATGCAAGCACGTCCTTTCCAACAGATACCTTCTTCTTCGCCAGCAATAAGTCCTGGTAAGCATTCGAACGGAGGAAGCGCGCGTAGCTGTCACTCTTCATCAGCTTGTAAATGTGCTCCTGTGGGACAGGAGGAAATGAGATACAGAGAATTGTTATCAAACCTCATTTAGACATCACAGGGATTTAAAACACAGCAAATTAGAAAGAAGAGAGACTGATCAAAGTTCTAATTAAGTCTGCTATTATTGATTATCTGTGTTGTGGTAGTGTACAGGAGGTCCATCCTGGGGCAGGACCCTGCTGTGCCTGGGGCTGTACGAACACAAGACAAAGAGATGGTCCTCGCCCCAAAGACTGGCACACATTATTCAGTAATCAGCGTTATTCTGCAAAGACTGCGACTCTCTGAAGTCCCCAGATTATAAACAGGTGTCTGGCCAGGCTGAAACTACTGGGGTGTCTCAAGAAGGAAGAAATAAGCACCAGAAATTGTCCCACAGATTAGGTTTCATTTTACCACTCCCAGGTACTTGAACTATCACCCAGCACTCCCCTCCTGTTCACAGAGGGGAACTGATACTTGGACACATTTCATCTCCACTTAAGACACATACTTCAAGCAAGCCAACCTGTTAACGTCTTGAAAAAGCCTGTATCTCTGCTGACTATGCAGGGAGGTTATACGACTAGCTCAGATGTGGATGGCTACATCATATGTATAAAGTTATGTCAGATGAGTCTCTCCCATAGGGTCTTTTTTCTCCTAACAAGTCAAACTACTGTTACCGGTTTGCTCTGAGAGCACCTACTACGTGCATCTTCAAACTTACAAAGTGGCGTTTCATTGCAGCAGAACTTCAGGCCTACCCTCTTCCAATTTCCTTCCTTAGTTTTACTTTCCTGCCGAGAATCCCTTAACACAGTCAGCTCTTCTTCTCCTAATTATCCCTGGATTTGTAATAGATATTATCCCAAATGCCAAGAAAATAAAATCAAAATACTTTGACTAAATAAAGACTGAGAACACACGAAAGGAACTCAAGAGAAAAACAGGCACCGTGGACATTTCTGCAAGACTTTGCCCAAGGAAGCACTTTTATAGAGTTAATGAGCAATTTTATCTATACTGATTTATACAATGTGAAACATTCTCTCCTGCCCTAAAGCCGTTGTGCATGAAACTTTAGAAGAGCCAAACCAGACTGAAGTCATGTAGCTTATTTCACAGTGTTAACAAGCCAAGCAGAATTCCCGTATCTTCACCATCATGGGTAATTAGCGATGACCTGTCCATATACAGAACTGCTTAATTCAGTTTTCTTGCACTATTCGGTGTAGTCCTAAGAGGGGCATAACTGCCACTGGTTTTCCTATGACACAGCATAAATGTATCCTTTGAGCTACAACCTGGTGTGGAACAATTTTTACCAGTTAATTTCCATACTTGCTTTTAGGCCTGACAAATCCTCATTTGTGTAGCACTATCTGAAAGATAGTACAAGATTTTGCAATAGAAATGCTCGTATAAAGCCATTTAGCAACTGTCACCCTTCCTTGCTGCAGAGAAACACAGAGGGCACAGCTTCATACTTCTCACCTACAGCACGGCCATGAGATTTCACGTCCAGCTGTGGGACATTTGTTCTATTTATTCAGGACAGAATGAGCCAAGTATGCACTAAGAAAAGAAGAGGGAAAATAATGCACATCATGGATATGGTCGTCACAAGGTTTTTATTTCTCTGGTGTGAATAAGGATTTTCAACATCAGCTCTCTCTCAAATACTTCAACTAGCAGAAACTCAGGATTCGGTTGATTGAAACCCAACCATATTGCAACCAGTTCACCTGTACTGTTACCTCTTAAGGTTTCTCAAGGAGACTCCATGTCCTCCTAACGAGTTCTTCATAATTACCTGGGAAAAAAAACCACCTAACTATATACCTAAAAGTCTTTTTCCTTCCTCTTCCAGGACCATGAGGAGACTGATGAATAAGTGGGGCAGCCACCTTGTAGCCCATCAACAGTAAAGGGCCTGAGGGGTCTCCAGAGCCTTCCTCCTCTTAGTGGTCCTGCCTTGCAGCACCCAGTACATGCAGGGTGCTGGTGGGAGGGGGTGCTGAGGCGGGGGTGCTGTGGGGCTGAGGTAAGGTGGTGGCTGACAGGGGTATTTTGATTAATGTTTTGATAGATGTGATTTTTTTTTTCCCACTACCTTTGGACTCCACAAATGGTTTCTTTACTTGTGGTCAGACAACTGGGTCTGCTCTGAAAAACAATGATAATATTTTTGGAAAATAACATTCAGTTGTCATTGCCGTGCAATAGATAGATCATACGAGCTGTTTGCAGGCAAAGGAGAACACACCAGGCTGGCCATACAACCTGCTGGCATGCCAGCGACAACTATCATTCTTGCTCACGTCAAGATGACTTCATGTATTCGACCTTAAAACAGTATAAACTCAATATCTGGCTGTGGGAAGGGGGAAGAATTACTTCGATCCCGAGATGAAATAAACCACAAGCTGACTTCTTAATTGAAGCCCTTCCCTGAAAAACAGGACTATTGCACACCCCCAGCCCAACTGCCACCGCAGTTAGCTAATTGGTATGAAGCATTTTCTCTGCTTTTCACATCTTGGCATCACTGAACAGCAACACCACTACCTTTCAGCTGTTCACCAAAGACATAATCAAACAGGGAATAACTATTCCTAGGCTTTGAATGCTAATGAAGAAAGAAGGCTGGGCATAGGGGAAGGGAGGGACATGCGTAGCTTCAGAAGCAAACTTTACTGCTTAATTGCAAGAATTCAAAGGGCTTGCTTTGAAGAAGCTCTGGACTGGAGGCAGGAATGACACACCGATCATTTATTTTACAGCACTGCATTTCTGAAGCGCCTGCTGGAAGTCTGAGCCAGTTGCTCAGGTCAGCAAAGACTGCCTTCCAATTTGCAACAGTACAGGACAGCTTACATTGCTGCAGCCAAAATCCCTGCTGAGACTGCACCATGAAGGTTCCTGCTAAAATTGTGGCTGCAGTGTGTGTTCAGCCCAGTTGCACAACAAACCCAGCTGCCGGACAGGAAACGCCAGTGGCTGGGGTATTTGTTTTGATCTTTAGCCTACTCTGTTCTTCGCCACCGAACTATTTTCTGTTACACTTTCTGAAATCTGCAACTTGCTAGGGAGAATTTACAGCTAGTGTTTAGCAGCTCCTCATTTCTTAAATACATTAAAAGCTACTGGAGGTCTAGCAACTGAGCATATTCTTCTGAGGAAGCCTGAGTAATGGGCCTATCAACAGAGGTGTCTGCACGGATTTAGCTGCTTTGTGCAACTTGTGCAACTTGGCTTGTCCCCTTCTATCATGGATTTTTAAGTCACTTTGGATCATTGCAACCCACTGGTCTCTCACTTCTTATTTTACTGAGCAGCTGCTTTTGCTCCTCCTCTTTATCACATGGTGGAGAGGGAGCATAACCTCATCAAAGACTGAAATCTCCAACTGCAGCCAGCATCTCTAGTGATGCACTTTATACACATGCACGCTCCCTGACATACCTGATGCTGCTGGCAAGAAATTTGAGCCTTCCCATTCTTATGCCGAGAGAACTCTGTATTTTGTGAAGTTGTTTATTATAGGGTAACGAGCTCATTATTACTGGCTCCCTGAATACACAAAGCAAATCCACTACTTGTGTAATTTTTAACAATGCAGCTTGCAGCTCTGGACATTACAGTCTCCTGCGCTGCAAGCAGTCTGGCCAGAATTATCACTGCGACATTTCTCTGCAAGTGCCATGGGAAGTTCCTGTGCCACATCTGCACAACAGCAGGAGCAACATTTCATCTAGGCAGTGTAGCATCTCCCAGCCATTGCTGGGTGCCACTTCCCAGGTAGGGCTCAGACTCCCAGCTCCCTGCTCTAGACTTAAGACAGCAATCCTTTAGGGAGTCACGCTGGAAAAACAAAAATTCAAAACAATCTTCTAACAAAAATTGCCCAACTGATCTATTAAACCATTAAACGAGGTAGCAGCCTGCTTTTAAAAACAGATAGAAAGCAGGAAAAAAAAGCCTTTCAAGATTTGGTGAGAAGTTGACAGGCATCACGCGTCCCACTGGTCTCCCCTGCAGCCTTGGCAGCTATCTTTGAGCACCAAGCCACTGTCTCAGGCCACTGCGGTGGCAGCTGCGAGTGGAGACAGGGACTGACTTGACATGTGCGAGCAAGCCCTGGTGAGCTGGCTTTTTCAGCTGACCGGTCACTAACTCCCTTACACAGCGCGCTGTTGATGAATGCTGGCTGGACTGATGCTCCCCTGTGAGGATGGATGCACATTTGAAATTGTCAGTCTAACATGGAGGGTGACACAATAACCTGCTTTTGTAATTACGGTGGATTTTGTCTCCAGGAAGCAAACAATTCCCTTACAAGACTCCTGCAAGCACAGCGGGTTTGCTGTCAAACATCCCCAGAACTGTTGTTCCCCAGATCCTGAACTAAGGCAACTGAGGCAATGGGGTCTGCATGCATGTCTGCTTGAGAAAAAGGTAGACCCCCTTTCACGTTTTGGGCACCTAAATCACATCTCCTCCATGGTGGGAAGAACTATGCAGTGGGCCTGAGGGTATCCAGCTCCACTGAGCATCTTCTCTGTACCTAGGCTTGTATCACGAGAGTTACACTTCAGAAAGCGTAACCATTCCACTTGCTGTCACCACTGCATGATATAAAGGAGAACGAACAGTAAATTTTAAAGGGGGAAGCATTGTCACTTCTGTGAATTAGAAAACAAAGGAACCAGCCAGGTAAATCACAAAAAAATTCTTTTCTACAGTTATGTGAAATCAAGAGGAAATCCCGCCCCATGTACAGCTGACAGCTTAAGTGCAGGGAAATAAACCCTGATAAGATTCAGCATCTCTTGGCTGTTTTCCTTCCACAAGCTCTATCTTTGGAAGGAGGTGAAGGACAAGCTCTGTAAATTTTCTTGACAGAGGGGAAAGGGGGAGGAAAAAAAACCCCAGTAAGTTTGCAATCCAGACGGGAATGTGGGAGGTGACCGAGATAGCAGAAACTGTCTCAAAGCTGCACCTGCTTCAAAAC